CGTAATCTTGATCAGGAATACCCAAGTGCTCGTTATCGAGATCCATCATTTTTACAGTTACATCTTGAGCTTTTCCCTTCAAACAAAATGGTCAGCGAAATACTGCGAAGAAAAATATTACGAAACTGGTGAATGCCAGCCGCTATGAAACAGATAGCTTAACAAAGTTAAAACTTAGAATTCTTCGAAATGATCAAGATGAAAGAACTGCAGGATCTTCGCCAACAAAATATGGCTGAATTATCAAATAATTTTATTCATTCCATTACTGTACTGGGAACAGCAGTAGGGTTAGTAGCTCTCGGCGAAACCGACAGATGTGCCCTGGTAAACCGGATTTCGGTGGTTATCAAATAGCAAATCTGTCATTGACCATATCTGCCACTGTATTTATGGCCACCGATAGGCATTCACCCAGAGGTCACCGACGAAAGTCTATTGGTTACCAACCCTATGGTGAACTGTGTGACACGCATGAGATTTATTTTTCACAGTTTGGAGGCTGAAAAACAATGAAAATACGCGAATTAAATTCAAAAACGAACTCTCTTAGTATCTTCGAATGTGAACGTAATTGAGTCAGCGTCATTCTCTTCATATCTAATGAGACAAGTGTCATCATTATTAGCACATTTCAAAGCTTTAGCCATATTCGCTAAGCTCATTCCCAAATTAATGGTTCGATCACAACGATACGTTTCAAATAAGCCAACTTCTAGTTTCAACGATACTAACGCCACATGAGACGAGTCCATTGCCTACAAACAACGATAAATGAAATGCGGACAGGTGGTCCTCTAGTTCATGCGGCTTCGCAGAAACCGCGTAAATTACACAGTTACCTGCTACGACCGCTTCCTCCTTTACAAAATGTGAAAATTGGGTCTGCGCCTCTATCCAGGCATAAGCCTAATTGGTATTAGACAAATGGTGAAATTGTACAAATAACTAGACAGAGAAAAACATTACCTGGAGGCACATTGCGTTTTCACTGCAGTCGAACGGAGCATTTGTGACCAAATCCTTGATTGCTTCAATAATCT